TGCCACTTCTGCCTCACCTCGAGTCATTGCATAAACCCTCGGTGCTCCCTGTGCTCTGGTACCCTGCGTACCACTTCCTGATGGCTGATTTCGACCACCACCTCTACCACCCTGTGAACCACCACGACCACTCTGAAATCCACTACGGCCTCCCTGGTACCCACCCCTAAAGGAGGCTCTACTAATTTGCACTGAAGGCTCGGACTGTGTAGCTCTTACTTCTCTCGAATGCGGACAGTCCCTCATGATGTGCCCAGGTTGGCCACAGTGAAAGCATACACCAGAAAATCTCCTACACTCTCCAAGATGCCTCTTCTGACAAACTTGACAAAATGGAAATTGTGTGGCTGAGGAAATTGGTGCCCTGTATGATGTTCCCGACATAGATTGACTTGGTGTTCTCCCAAAACTGCTAGGAGCTCTCCTGGGTGGGTAACGAGGTCCAGCATAATTTACTCCAAACTTCCTCTTCTTCTCCTCTTCTTTGGCCTTGTGTTCTGGCTCGCTACGACACAACACCTAACAATGTCCAAGTGTAACCAATGAAAGGGACTGCAGTATAGTGGCTCAAGTGATAAATATCGAATCCAGGGGTCTCTAGAGTTACTATTACTCAACTTCAGTTTATTATTTAGCAAACCAGATTAAGATGAAAGAACTAAAACTACTCTAGCAAACTACAGTTAAAGTTAATCTAATTACAGGTTGGGAACTCACTTAGGTATGATTCCCCCTAGCCACTAGCCAGACTAACGATTGATGATTTCTAACTTGTTTCTCTTTCATTCACAATGCGGAGAATCCTTGACTAGACCTTGAGTCTCGACTAAAGGAACAAGGCCCTCTTGAGTCAATTGCCTAGAGGGACGTATCCTTCTCTAGAACAACCGATCAAGGCATTCTGAACTAGACTCCCTCTATCGAAAGAGGTTCTCAATCGATACAAAGCAGTGAATCAACCCTCGACTAAAGCAATCGATCCACTACTATCAATCTATGGTGCTCTATTGACCTAATCAGGTATTCGCTCTCATAGGATCAAAGCAGAATCAATAATCTCGACTAAAGCAGAATTGAATCATGAAAACATGCATAGATTGAATATGAACTCAAGATTATCAAGTCAGAGTAATCATACAATCATCCAATCAAACAAACATAGCTAGGGTTCCTCAAAACCTAAGTGAAGGGAAGTTACTCCATAGAGAAGAGAGAGACTGCAGTAAGAATCTTCAGATGATCAGTCTTCAAGTCCGGGCTTGTTCCTCGAGCTTCCAAGGTAAAGAAATCCTCCAATTCCACTCCAAGAATGCCCTCAAATCGCCCTCTCTCTCTTTGGTTCGTCCCTTGGGTGTTTGGGATCCAAAACCCAGCTCTCCCTCTCCTTTGGCTCGAATTTGGGTTAAAAAACCCGATTCTGGGCAAAACACGGTCGAGGGCACGGCCGTGCTTTGGTTTTTCCCGCCCGTGCTTTGCCTTGTGTTAAAAACACACCCGCGCGCGTCGGCCAAAACACGGTCGTGCCTAAATATGGGCACGGCCGTGTTTTGATTTAGGCGCGCCCGTATTTTTACCGCCGAACCTGTTCCCCTATATTCAATGCTTCGTTTCTCCCTCGTCCGGACTCCGAATCAGTCGCCGTTTGATCCCAGAAGCTAGTAGTCTCGTCCTCTTTCTTTTAATGACAAGCTTGCATGATTCTTTGTCCATAAAGTGAGGTAGAAATCCATTCTTCTTCAGGGTATGCCCTAGTTTCTACTCCCGAATCGCCAATTGATCTCTGATTGACTTGAAACTTGCACCTATGCTTCACTTTATGTGCTAGGACCTGAAATGTGACAAAGGAACACAACCTAGAGTAAAATAGGGCAAAGACGCGATAATTAAATCTCAAACGATCAAGAAACAAAGGGGAAAACATGTGCAAATATCGAGTCATCATGTTCCTCTCGGCTCTCAACTTCATAGGCTTCATACTTAAGTGCTGCCTCCTTGATTGTGGCCATACTCTCTTCATCAACCTTGTAAACCTTTTCTTTCAATCCTATGCGCAGACCATGCAAGTATCTCATCTTCTTCTTATGCTCAGTATCCGCCAACCCATCCTCAAAGTAAAGTAGTCGAACAAACTTGATGGTGTACTCAGTAACTGTCATATTCTCCTGCTTAAGGTTGGCGAATTCATTGTTCTTTGCCCTGATAAAAGCTTCGGGAAGAAACTCTGTCTTAAAGGCCTTCAGGAACTCCTCCCAGGTGATCTGAACTGGTTCACCATTAACTCTAGAGACTGAGGACCACCAGCTCCTCGCGTACCCCTTTAGGAGAAAAACAACATATTGTACTTTTTCCTCTGGGGTCGCATAAAGATATTCAAACACATCTTCCATCTCCCTCAACCACTCTACCACAGCATCCAGACTCACATCTCCTTTAAAGTCCCTACCACCGAAACTCTTCATCTTTTCATAGTCTAATACTGGCGGTCTTGCATCAACCGCCCCCACTCCTCTCGACTGGTCAGTAGGAACATTATCACAACTTCCTTGCGAGCTACAAGGAAATATTGGCCTTAGATTGATCCACCCAAAATTCATTCTTCACCAAATCTCTCACTTGGTTAAAACAAAAAATTTCCAAAATTATTACTTGAAAACAAATTGGTTCAAACTCAATTTTGAAAACCATGATGCAGGTAATTTCATCCAATATACCAATACACATAATAATGTCAAACTCAATTCCCAGTTTAAGTCATTATGGGGTACTCCCCTCCTTAGGAGTGTTTAACCTCCCATCGGGTATAGTACGCCATAACAGCAAAAAGAGGGAACCGGGCTCTGATACCAAACTGTAACACCCTACCATATGCGTATTACCTAATCATATTGTTCATACAATTGCAACGGAATTAATCCCGGGTGTTACATTAATTATCAAAATTTACCTAAATAAAATTTCGACATGAATTACTCGCGTAATGGGCTAACAGTTCTTGCAACTTATCCTGCAAAATAATTCATCACAAACATATATATACTCACAACCATAAGCATTGGCTTTCATAGCCATAGTCACGGTTTCATACTACACAACTGCATACTATATTGATACAAGCCATAATCGTCACAACTTACATAATTACAAAAATATACACATATCATCAACTTTCCACACCTGTGGATATCTCACACTAGATCAGAAGCTAGTATGCACATGAAAAACGTTCTCAAAACATTTTTACAAAAATGTGTGGATCACTGGCCAAAATCCCAAGTAGTAGTCCAAGCACAGAATAGTTGAAGACCATACCTCATCTTGCCTTCAACTCTTGCTCAGCTCCCACCTATACACCTATCTACTGCTGCTGATGATGATGATCTGCTTACACATGGCATAAGCAGAGAAAAATGATAAAGAGGGTCAGCTCATAGCTGAGTGAGATAATCATAGCATCGTGAGTTCATAACAAAGCATACCCCTACCATACATCTAGCAAACAAGCCAAAGCACTGGAATCAGATCTGAGCCCTCCGACATGCCAATAGGCAAAAGACTCAACCATCTTGACTTATGCATATACATCTTATCATGTTTTACTTATAGGCGCCTGGCTACTCCCATGCTAATAACTCTCCCGGGAAACATACCCCACATCCCGTCGGATGTAGTCATACATACCCCAACATCCCGTCGGATGTGGTCATACATATCCCACACCACTATGGGTGTAGTCATACCCCGACACCACTCTGGGTGTGGTCATATCTCGTAAGAAATCTTCAGTCACCACCACATGAGAGGTGTGACTATCATACTTATCATAATAGAGTAATAGCATAGGGAGCCATAATTACTATGTAGTTGACCGTGAGACCACAACACTCATATTTGGTATCCTTATACATGATTCATATCTCATCTTGCTTAATCATAATTCATTACTTGCACATGTACTTGACCTGGCCATAATTGGCTCAACATAGGTAAATCAGGAGTCGTATAATTGCACTTCCTCGGGATAAACCCTCGTGCAAGTCATCCTCCTTAAAAATCATAATATCACCAGGGAATATATATATTTTCCCACTTGTGCATCCAAATACAACAATCATGAAAAATCATACCTAATCACCTTCTCGAACCATCGTAAAGCATATTAACAGTCAAGCCCACAATTTGCAACATATACACAATCATCAGCATAAACAAGGTTCATATCGATTAGGGCAAGTCAATAATATCATACAGCAATCCAGGGTTCAACATATAGCACAAAAGTTCATACACCCCTAATCATGCCATTCTAGTTCACCTAGATCAATTCTAAGCATCAATATAATTATCGTGATACGACAAACCCGGTATGCCGTGCTAATCCCTCACCAGTTCTGGTCTTTCAAACACCGGTTTAAGCTTCCCGTACTAAAACGTCAATTTCACGAACGAACCCCGAAATAAAATCCGAGACCGTCCTAATATCCCCTGTAGTATCCCCGTCGATATTAGTTCTAGGCTCCGGGTCAAATTCTAGATAAAAACACATCAAACCTTGCCCGGAGCTAAATTCAGCGGTTTGGACCCCAGCCTAAATAATAGCCGAAATTTAGGGATTAGAACTGGATGATTGTTTACCTCGCTGCAGGAAGCTCGTATATGAAATTTGAGCTCAATCCGGCTTCCGGATACTCTGAAACCCTAATTTGGCTTATCGAGAATTCGAGAATTTCATGAATCAAAAACTCGTTTTAAAGCTCTAAATCGATAAATCATGATGAATGGATGGATTAGGAATTACTTACGGGATTTTTGGATAAGTGGAACTGAAGAATTGAGCTTTGGGAAATCCCTCGTCTCTCCCCTGTACCGCACTCTGTCTCTGGTTATGAAAATGGAAAAAAGATGATGGTGGTGAGAATTAATGGACGGGGGAGGGGGATTTAATATATATGCGGCCCGGCCGCTTAATATATATATATATATAATTAATACGTATACTTATCCGATCGATCGATAATTTGATTTTTGTCGAAATACTATCAAAACGCTCGATTTTAAATCGTGAACTTTCTAGCGATCGAAATATGGATTTTTTCCGGAATGGGATGTTACATCCCTCGCCATCGTTGTCTCGTCGAGGCCTTCCCTCGCCGACCTTGTCTCCGGCCTCCCCTCTCCGTGACTCCGCCTCTCGCGACTCCGGACTTCCCTTTCCGCCCCTCCGCCTCCTCTTCCCATATCGCCGGTTGACAATCTCAACCATCAAAACTTCTCCCTCCAGAACTCTCTTACTGCCTTTGTCCAGCTCTCCACCTCAATCGCCGCCTGCCCGCCATCGACCTCCCAGTCCCAACTCACCCTCCGTCATTGAATCAGCCGTAGAGAGCAGCGTTAGTCGGAAGGAGTCGACGGAAGTAGATCTAGCTCCATGCATGTTTGGGTTGCTTGCCGAATCTGCCAGATCTACCTCGTCGTCGCCAATTGACATCCCCAGACTACTCGATCTACCTCGTCATCGTCGCCAATCGCAAGTCCAGAGTGGCTCCGGCGACTATCTCTTCTTCGTCAACGATGATTAGGATTTGAGGGAGTTCCCACCCCCAGTCCCCACCATTCGTCATCAGCACATCTGGTAATCGGGTACCCGGAAAATAACCGCATCCACAGCAATCGGTAATCGGTTTACCGAAGGAATTCTGGTATCGGCAAACGGCGGGGCTGACATGCTTCTCGGTATACCGATAACCGGTTAGGCAGTTACCAGTTTAACCAATAACCGACCGATTACCAGCCCTAGTTTTTGTTGTTCTTTGCAACCTCAGTTCACTGTGCCTTGTAGAAATACAGTGAAGAAGGATATATTGGGACTGTATGGGGCTGAAAGGGATAAATTTCAGAAGCTAATTAATGGTAATCTTGGTAATATTGCAGGGGCCACTGATATGTGGACTGCACCAACCAGAAGAGGGGTTATATGACAGTGATTGGTCATTTTATTAATAATGGTTGGAAACTTAGAAGCATGATGTTGAGATTTTGTATGTCCCTGCCCCTTATACAAGTAGGATGCTAGTAGATAGATTGTTCAAGTGTTTGCTTGATTGGAATGTAGATGGAAAGTTTTCCTCCATTACTTTGGACAACTGTATGTTACGAGATCGAGCCATCGTAACATTTCGTAGAAGGTTCGGCTTGCGTATCTTTAGTATTTTATTATTAGTTCGTATTTGGTATTATTGGGTCTTTTTTATTATTGTCTTAATTAGTGTTTTTCTTGTTTATGTAGTATTTGGTCATTTTTAGTTGTTTCCTTGTAGTACTAGGAGTCAAGTTCTAGATAGAAAAATGTAGAGGCTTCTATGCCTATAAATATGTACTTGTTTCGTTCGTTTAATGATAAGAGGATTGGAACCCAATAGTTCGCTTTTGTTCTTTATTTGCTATTTCCTTAGTTATTTCCTTTGAGAGTTCTTTACGTTTTATTCATTTTACAAGAAAACCCTAAAAATGCCACCCCCCTACGTCACATCACCGTAACAGTTGGTATATAGAGCCCGGTTCTTGGGATGGCGAGTAAGCAACCACAACCAATGAAGTCCAAAGTTACGATCAGCAGTTGGGTCACTATGTGGAACCAATATGTGGAGAAGTATTGCACCGTCTGCATCGACTCCATGAGGTTGCTAGCTGTCGAGTTGGAAACCGTTGCTCCACCCATGGTCGTCGTCACCACCGAGCTAACCATGGATCCATCTTCGTCACACGTAAATTCACCACCCATTGAGAACCCGTCAACTTCTACCGCCGACTCGATAATCATAGCAGTCGATCAGGAGACGAAATTGGCGGAGCTTGCCACCAAATATAGGGCGTTGCATCATGTTAGCTCTGGTTTCGACGAGCAGAGCTTGGAGAGGCGCGCACTAGGGGAACAATGGCACCCCATCAACAGGAATTTGAGCCATATGTTGGAGATCCTGAACCGTAACCTAAAATGCATGGAAGCATGGCGTCTGTGGAAGGATACTAGTGACCCGGCCTACGAAGCGAAGGCGTCCGAGGCCATGGAGACGATGGAGGAGTCGACTTCACCTCTCGCAACTGCCACTCCGGTGCCAGTGCCTCTGTGGAGTCCAAAGAAGAAGAAGTCGTTAGTCTCATCAATATTGCTCCATCGCCGTCTCGAGAGTTTGCCGTCGTTGCTGCGGCTACGAGGCTAGAACTGGGGAAGGAGCTAACCCTATCTCCGGCTCCACTACTCGGCGTTGAGAAAGAGGACGATAGGGCGATGTTCCTAGCTACAAGTAACGAAGTTCGCCTCCTGCCAAGAATCTGTTTATACCGGAGGAAAAGAAGGATGAAACGACGTGATGTTGTTGCCGTCGCTATACCCTTGTCCTCGGGGTCGTCGCCTAACAACATCACTGCTGAGAAGCTTCCGAATTCCCAGCCTGCACAGCCGTGGTTGAATTTGCAGGTAATCCCGTCTGCTGCGGTCGATGCTACAACTAATATTATTGGTACGTACACGGGTCCGTTTGAGTCGCTCCTTCGACCGAATTGGAAATATCTGAAGAGGAGAGTACGAGCTGTTATTGGAGTGCTTCCTCCTCCGCTCATGGTCGTTGAAACCCGAGCGGAGATGGTAGATGTTAAGGAAGAAGAAGCATGACAACCATTGATGTGTGAGGACTTTTACGTGGCCTCCGAGATGAGAGTTAGCGTTGCATTCGGAGGAGTGCCGTTGGGGAGGAATAATGGTGCGAGTTTGTGGCAATTGGAGGAAGTGTGGACTTGTGTGCTTGTTTAGTGTTGGAGGCATTCATTGCTAGCATGGCCTCAGAATACGTCGCAACGGAGTTGGCAATTTCAGTTGGGATCGATATGGTGGACTCTTCTTCTCCGGAGGACCGCGCACGCCAAGCGGTGAAGTGGTTGCAGCTGAGGCTGAATGATGAAGCAGCGCTAGCCCCTATTCTACTTGTTGTGCCTTTTACTCCAATGACGGCTAAGAAACTCTTGAATAAAGACTCCACATTGCTTGGCAACTCTCAGCAAGAGCTGTTGTCACGTGGAGTTGGTGGGAGAAGGCATGAAAATAATGAATTGGGGGAGGGAGATTGGTTAATTTCCATGCACAAGAAGCTAGTAGGGTGTTGCGCGTTGGGATCTAAAGGAGACCTGGAGGAGCTTAATGTGATCGTCTTGGAAGTGATGTTTAAGTGTCAAATTATGGGCGTGAAAAGGAAGGAGGTTGATAGCCATGGTAGTGATGATACGCGTTATGTTGTTGGATAAGAGTTGGCCGAGGTTGGAATTTGGGGTGGTATACACTTTGATACATTGTCTGAACGTAATTGGAAGTATCGAAAGCGATTGTATCGTCAAATATCCATGATCGTTGATAACAAGTTGCGAGGGAGGTTCTTTTACATCGACCCCGGTTGAACTGGGTGTGGTCATCCCACGAACCTTGTGGACAATGTTCTTTTAAGAGGGGGGGGGGGGAGGGATGTTACGAGATCAAGCCATATATCGTAGCATTTCGTAGAAGATTGGGCTTGCGTATCTTTAGTATTTTATATTAGTTCGTATTTGGGTATTATTGGGTCTTTATTATTATTGTCTTAATTAGTGTTTCTATTATTTTAGTAGTATTTGGTCATTGTTAGTTGTTTCCTTGTAGTAGTAGGAGTCAAGTTCTAGATATAAAAATGTAGAGGCTTCTATGCCTATAAATATGTACTTGTTTCGTTCGTTTAATGATAAGAAGTTTGGAACCCAATAGTTAGCTTTTGTTCTTTATTTGCTATTTCCTTAGTTATTTCCTCTGAGAGTTCTTTACGTTTTATTCCTTTTACAAGAAAAGCCTAAAAATGCCATCCCCCTGCGTTACATCCCCGTAACACTGTACCACCAACGATGCTATGATTTAAAATCTGAAAAACCATCTTATTATGAATGATTTGTTGTTGGATGTAAAGCTGGTTCACATGAGATGTTCTGCTCATATACTTAATCTCATTATGAGGGATAGTTTGGATGTCATCAAGGATGACATTCACTTGATTAGAGAGAGTGCTGTGTATTGGAACTTTACACCTAAGAGGGTCCAGACCTTCTTTGAGACTGTAAAGTAGCTCAAAATGACTTGTGACAAAAAAAGTTATGCTTGATTGTCCAACAAGGTGGAATTCCACTTATGAAATATTGTATGTTGCTATTATATACAAAGATTTTTGTTCTTTAATTTGAGAATGAAAGATAGTCAATACACTACTGTCCCTACTAATGAGCATTGGGATTTTGCTGCCATTGTCATTGATAAACTGAAAAAATTTCAGTGAGATCACAAAGCTCTTTTCTGGTACCAAGTATCCCACTACTAATATGTTTTCCCCTAAGATTTGTGATATGAGATTGAGTTTGCTTGATTGGTATGTTGATCCGTGTCCTATCATCTCTGATATGGCTGGAAATATGTGGTTGAAGTTCACCAAGTATTGGGATGATATACATTTGGTTTTGGCTATTTGTGTTATTATTAATCCTAGATACAAGCTTCAGATTATTGAGTACTATGCTGGCAAGTTTGGTAGCACCAATAGTCCAATACTGATTTGGTGGCTGAGAATATAAATGGAATGATTTCTAGTTTGGTTCTGGATTACCAAACCAAGGTTGAGAAGAATTCTTATTACGATTCTTCTTCTTCGTCTTGTTATGGTAATGGTAGTAGTTCAGTTACTGCCAAAGATTTGGATTTTGATCTCTTTGTAAGTCAGAGGAAAAAAAGCAAAACAACTATGATTACTATGAAGTTGGACCACTATCTTGTTCAAGAATTCATTCCTCATCGATATGCTGATTTTGATATATTAATGTGGTGGAAACTCAATGGTCTTAAGTACCCCACTTTGCAAGAAATTGCAAGGGATTTCTTGGCCATACTAGTTACACCAGTGGCCTCTGAGTCTGCTTTTAGCTCTGGTGGGAGGTTATTATACTCTCACATGAGCATGCTACACTATAGTACAATGGAGGCAATGATGTGTACCCGCAGCTGGATCATGGAAGATATGCAATTACTCTATTCTTGCTCTATGTTTGATCTTAAAGTTTACTTTCTAATCCTTTGGCTTTGTTTTCATGTTCTACAGAATCAGAATCTGATATTGAGGCGATGGCAGGAGTATTTACAGCTCTGTCGATTAAAAACTCAACTGATGAAGATCAAGAGAATGGGGGTAAATTACTAAGCATGCTTGGTTCTTTTAGATTCCATTCTCTATATTTATGCGACATGAACTATCCACTAACAATTTTTTTTATGTTTGTTGCAGTTGAAGAGGACCTTGTGATGATCAAAACACCAATCTACCTAGATGATTGACATTGAAAGGAAGAACCAGTGGAAAGGTACAAAGCATCACTTGGTCCTTACTTCCTTTCATTACAATCGACTGAATACTGATTTCCATTCTCCTGTTCCATTCTTGCAGAACATGACTGATTTAGGACTGTTGCTGAATGTTTTTGCTCACTAGGATGCTTTTGGAGGACTGTTTCTTTTAGATTTTTAGTTTGATTTAGAACGATGGTATTTTGAAGCTGATTGCCTATGTTTCTTTGAGTGTTTCCTTTTATTTTTTGGATGAACTTCTGAACATGGCTACATGAGATGACATATTAGTTTTTGGATGGTGGGATATTGGCTGTAGCTGCTTGTTTGCTTGCTGCATCTTGTCAGTAATTTTCATGTAATGAAGATCTGGGTGCTGGTTGGTGGTAGGGTTACAGCCCCAGAGTCTTCCATTTCAGTTTTGAACATCACGTTTTTCAGCTTAAATGAAGTGAGGTATTTTCAGGAACTATTTGCGTTTTTTTTTTGTTCTGGACGGGGATCCGTGGGTTACCCGAAACCGTCGGGTGATGGTGATGGTATGCATTTTTCACCTGATTAGGTCACGGGGACGGGGAAACCCGACAAGGGTAGCAGACGGTGAATGAGGGTTATGTACCCGTCCCCAATCCGCCATGTTGCTAATCCTATATACTAACATTATATCACTATCATATTAACATTATATCAACATTATATCACTACAAAAAACAACATCATGCTGCTATAAATGGTAATATCATGATATGATGACTTGAAATTTTTTTGCCCCAAAAATATCAAAATGAGTATCCTCTTGTAGGGCATAAAATATCAGATTTTCCTATGATTTTTTCTTCTTCTAAAATTCGATGTAATACTAACAACTTAAGGTCCATTTCGCAGAAGATTTGAAAAATGCCTCAACAACCGCCTCATAATCTATGTCCGCCTCTAAGAACCCGTTCGACACTCTCCCCTATTTACAACTTTCCTTTCTTACTCCATACAAAGATGGCCATTGGATCTCTTATCTCTCAATCTCAGCCATCCATAGAGGTTTTGTAGGAATACAAAAATAATCGATTTTGAATCCTAACCCAAACCATTTTCTATATATGTATTGAAAATAAAATAATTTCATGGCGCAAATACATATCACATTATTGCTAGCATGAACAATTTGTGATTAAATAAAATACACGAAATCAAATACACCATATATGTTTGACCTAATGTAAATCAAAGCAAAAGGTTTACTACAACCTACACGACTGAAAGGCCGAATCTGCAGGTATGAGTTACGGACCTTTCGCCTCTCTTTTAGGCTTTGAGCAAATCGTCAATAAAGCAAGTTGCCTGTTTAGCCTTGTCAAAACTTCACTGCTATTTAGTCTCTCTTGCGGGGAGTCGAAAGAGCAAGCAACACCAATTTCCAAAATGGAAATCAGAGCTTTTTCGGGGATTCGACCAAGTAGTATGTCATTGAGTAGAATTGGATCCACAACTTCTGGGATTGTCGATCCTTGTCCTAATAAAGCAGCGTTGACAAAATTCTGAAGGTTCACGCCATCATTGAAAGATTCATCGATTGGCCTCCTTCCAGTGAACATCTCAAGTAGGAGGATCCCGAAACTGTACATGTCACCTTCAATCGAAATTTCATTTCCCATACCATATTCTACAATAGAGATCCAAGAAAAGATTAGCAATGAAAAGAATATAATATATAACCTTAATGAATCGTTCTGACAAATAAGATATTGTATTTTCACATGAGATCATATTAAAAAAAGTTTAAATGAAATGAGAACGTGTAAGATATCATTCTAATAGCAACGATTACTGAATACCTGGAGGAGCATAGCCCACAGTTCCTTTTATGCCAACGGAGCTGGATGTCTCGCCATTCAAAGAGAGATTGGCAGCTGGTGATTCAAGAAATCTTGCTAATCCAAAATCACCAACATGAGCTACCATATCCTCGTCGAGGAGAACATTATCGGGTTTAAGATCACAATGAACAATAGGCGTTTCACAAAGGTTATGAATATAATCTAGTGCAGATGCTATATCAATGGCAACATTTAGCCGTTGATGGAATTTCAGACGCCTTGGAGGGTCATTAACACTTTCCACTAGATGCAACCAATTTTCCAAACTTCCATTAACCACAAACTCATAGACTAGAGCCTTAAAATCATTCCCTTGATAGTCAACACCCGAACATACCGTCAAAATCCTCACAAGATTTCTGTGTCTGATATTCTTTAATACTTCACATTCTGCCATAAAACTCTTAGAAGCTCCACGACGCTGAAGATTGAATACCTTGACAGCTATTGTGATCTCTTCTCCGTTAATGTGAACAACTCCCTTGTACACAGAACCAAAGCTGCCTACACCAATAAGATTTGTCGTGGAGAAATAATTCGTAGCTTTATGGAGACTTTGGTAAGATACTCGAGTGTCGAAATCATCGTCACTCGAAACTATATGTTGTTTACCTTTACTTTTCATCCAAAAGACAAGCAAGGAAGAAGCAATGAAGATCAACAATATCATACTAGAGATTGTTGATATAAAAACCTTCCACTTATACTTCAATCTCTTCTTTGGTCGTCTTAAGTTGCAAGGTGGAAGGTTAAGTTCAGGCAAACCTCCACAAAGCTTGACATTTCCAATGACTAAAATAATTATGCTATTATTCAAAACTCCCTCCGTTGGCACTTCACCCTCAAACTTGTTGTAAGACAGATTCAATAGTTGTAGAGAATGCATCTGCTCAAAGAATTTTGGAATTTTACCAGATAAGTTATTGCTTGAAAGATCAAATAGTCGAATACCTCTTAACGAATCCAATGACAAAGGAATCGCTCCTCGGAGGAGGTTGGCCTGCAATCGCACGGACTCCAGGCTGACACATTTGCCAAGGCTTTTTGGAATGTTGTCTGATAACATGTTATTGGATAGATCCAAGGAACCCAAGTTCTTCAGATTTTCCACTTCGATGGGGATGCTGCCAGTGAAATGATTGTAGGACAAGTTCAACCCCATGGACAATGAAGTAAGACCCATGAGTTGTGTGGGAATGACGCCACTAAGATTGTTGTTTGATAAGTCCAAAAGTATCAAACTTTTGCAGTTTTGAATAGCAGTAGGAATTTCTCCGTCTAGATGGTTATTAGCTAAGCGCAATACAAGCAATCTATTCAAGTTTCCAATAGACAAAGGAACATATCCAGCAATGTCGTTGTTGTCCAAACGCAACTGCACTAAGCTCTGCATCTTCCCAATAACTGTTAGTGATTCCGCACCTGAGAGCTTGTTCCCATTCGCCAAAAGAACCTCCAAGTTGACAAGGTTTTGTAAGCCCGCTGGGATGCTTCCTGATATATGGTTGTTATCCAACACGAGTATCTCAATGCTCAACGACAAGTTGCCAATTTGCTCCGGTAAGCTGCCTCCAAAATTATTGATGCTGATGACCAGGGCTTGCAATTTTCTTGCATTTGTCAAGGTAGAAAGGAAACCCAAATCATCACCGTTAACCTTGCCACTTCCAAGAAAGTTTTTGGCAATGTTTAAACGCAGAAGGTTGTGAGAGCTAGCCATACTAGGCACGCTCCCTGTAAAATTGTTGACTTGCAGTTGAAGTTGGACCATATTCGAGGCATTGGACAAAGAAGGTGGAAGACTACCAGTGAGTTGGTTAAAAGGCACATAAAAATTCTCAAGATTCGGAAGTAATGTTCCTAGATTCCATGGAAGGTTTCCGTGGAGTCGATTCTCTCCCAAGGAGAGAACTGTAAGAGAAGTAAGATTGAAGATGGAAGCGGGAACTTCACCATTTAAGTAATTACGATGCAGCAGCAGTTCCTCAAGGCTCTTCTTCAATTGTCCTAGAGCCTCAGGAACTCTTCCACTCAATTGGTTATCGCCTAATGCTAGGATCCGGATAGATGTCAAGTTGCCGAAAGAAGGAAGGATGCTCCCTGTTAGACGGTTTCCTCCTGCGTGAAAGAATTGAAGCCCATACAAGAAGCCGAGCTGCCGAGGTAGGCTTCCCACCAGTTTGTTATTTCTGACATGGACCTCGGCCAGAGCAGAGCATCCCGAGATGTTGGACGGAATCTCGCCGCCCAACGAGTTGTTGTATAGAAACAGAGTCCGCAATCTACGTAGCCGGCCAATTTCGGGCGGGATTGCGCCGTGGAATGTGTTGTTGTTGAGGTCGAGCTTCTTCAGGAAGGTGAGATTGCCGATGTGTGGAGAAATGGAGCCAGAGAGCCTACTGGAATGCAGGTCTAGGACCGTGACTCGGACGTGTCGTCTGGAACAGGACACGCCGCCCCAAAAGCAAAACTGAGTGGAATCATTCCACGAGCTTAGAACTCCCAAAGGGTCGCCGGAAATCTTGGACTTGAACTCGAGCAACGCCAGCCGATCCGTCTCGTTGCTCGAGTGCGTAGCAAGGACAACGTGTAGGAGGCAGAGCTGGAGAACCCAGAATGTAAAGACCCAGCGGGTTATTGATTTCTTATTTTTGGTCGAGCTGGTAGAGATTGGAGCCAACTTTCTTGCCATGGATCTTTGGCTTGGCTTAGCAGTTGTAAGTGGAATTTCTGATGGGTATATTCTTTTTTGTTGTATCTGTTTTCGGCGAAGGGGAACATAGATGTATAGCACAGCATCCAAATTAAAGAAAGATGTGGGTCTCTGTCTCTTGACGTGATACTGCTGGGAAGAACAACGGGACCGCAACTGAGGTCAAAATTGGAGAGTGGACTTTTATCTCGCTGTAGTTGACAAGTTGTCCAATCAAGGAGGGAGAGCATGCAATCGGCCTGCGGGAAGAAGAATCAAACGAATGAATCGATAAATTTCATCAAGAACTTAATTACTCCAACAATCCAGTTGACCAAGAAAGGAACAACACCGACAGCTAATTAACTTAACAATTAAAAAAATATCAGTTCCATTCCATGACCAAAAATAATAATTTTTGGCTGAAACTGGGGGAAAGTCGTACAAATAACTTTTGGTTGATATGGTGATTAGCAAACTTTACCGAATCACTCCGGTTAATGCTTGTTACCACAGTGATTAGGGCTGGTAAACGGTGCGGTCTGGTCTACGATCTATGGTCCAGACCGAGAGGCTAAAGTATCGACCACAGACCAGACCACAGACTATACGGTCTGGTCCAGACCACGCCTATGCGGTCTGGTTCGGTCTGGTCTGGTCCACATAGACCACACTCAACGAAAAATGAATAATTTGTTTAGTCAACCACACAAAAAATTGAACCAATACCCAGGAAAAATAATTGTTATTTGCCTTAAATCATTAATCCTAACATACATGAATAATTTTGATACTCTAAATGTTAGTACATAACAAAGATACAAAGTAAAAGCATCCCAACTTGCACCATAACGTCATAAACATTAACATAATGTCATATGGAGACACGATTATCTCTACTCTCTGGTTAAATGTGGTTATGAATGAAGGAGGGACGAGATTCACAAAACTAAGGCTCAGACTTGGGTGTCGTTGTAGGAGTTGGGAGAGTGGTCGAATGGGCTGTTAACACGTATTGACAAGTCAGTTGGGTTCACGGTTTGGTCCGGTAAACCGCGGTCTAGACCAGACCAGACCAAGATATCAAAACATAAGATAATACAGACCATGGACCAGACCAGACCATACTTAACGGTCTACGGTCTGGACCAAACTGTGCGATACGGTTTGGACCACGATTTTTCTAACGGTATGGTCTATTTTCCCAGCCCTGAGTGATAGGTGTAATGTATAATGATGGCAATCGGCCGGATTTGGGCGGGTTTGTATAAATCATTCCAATTTTTCGCTTTCAAATATTCAAATTCATACCCGTCCCATACGTATGCGAATGAAGGTTTTGCAAACCCATCCTCATACCTGTGGGTTTTGGGTAGCAATGGGTAATATAATACCCGCCTTGTACATCCAACATTATAAAAACAAAAAAATTTAATGTAAATTTTTAATTATACATTAAACGCACCTACTATAACATGAAGGCGACAAAGTGACCATCATTCTTAATATGGTTCAAAATATCTTATTCTAAAACATCCATTAATCCATAAGATAAAGTACAATGTCACCCAAATCATTATTCTCTGACTCTAATACATCTACTAAGCAATGCTAACTTACATAATCTTGCTAACACTAGGGAAAAGTGAAAGAGTGAATGGAGAGTTGAGGAAAAGGAATCATATTTTGATTTGGGTGGCCACTCCATTAGATTTCCACTAATTATTTTGTTGAGTTACCCTCACTATCATTGATAAATTACTATTTGATCCATGTATTTTATGTGAACAAATATTCTTGGTGGGGTGGGTATGACGCGGGGATGCTAAAACCATACTCGTCCTATACTCATCAAACGTTTTGCTGGTTCTACCCATACTCGCCCCATACCCAGTCAAAGCGGAAATTCCCCGTTTGACTGTGTCGGGGGCGGTCGAATTCCCCGTGTTGACTATGTCGGGGGCGGTCGGGTACCCACGGTCATGGCTTTGATTGCCATTCCTAGTAATGCAAGCAATTGTCACTTAAACAATGAGCTAATCAAGCATGTAATTTAAGGTTCAGTAGATAGATTGATTTTCAGCAAGACATGACAATGGGTAGACCTATTAGATAATTTGACCCAATTGTCAGGACCCATAAGAGTATTGAATCGGACCCAAATGGATTCATATATGTATTTTAATGGTGTTGAGTTTTTTTTACAGAAACTTGTATTCACTTTATTAATCAGAGTTTGCTGCTACATCATCCAATTCAATCTTATCAACTAAATATATTGGTGACTGATCAAGCCATACCACCCGCTCATCCCATCTTGTGCGTGCATGTGCCATGATATGAGCAGCTTCATTTGCCTCCCTGTACACATGGGAGAAACTCCCTTGTCGTTCTTCAACCATTCTCCTTTTTTTTCCTGCAAACCACCCCTATCTCTGATCTGGAAGAAGCTTGCTCTGTCAACACTTGCACCAGCTGCAAACAATACATCACCATTATTGGTTTTTGGACGTAAAATTGTTGCGCCAGCTGATCTCCCATCACCAAAGCCATTGCTTCTGCCATGTCCGGTGTGTATTGTCTGTGTACTCTCTTCGCAGCTGAAAGTATGAATGATTCATTCTCGTCCCACATCACCACTCCAAGACCGATCCCTCCTTCTTGTAGTATCCCATCATCTGCGTTCACCATCACTCGACCACTTTGAGGTTTTCCCCACTTCTTCACACAAGGAACCAGCTGATTCGGCACAGGCACTCCCTTTTCCTGATGTTGGCGGTAGTCTTCCAAGAAATACTTTGACCTCACCATAATTTCCTCTTCCACCGTCTTCAGCTAATTGGATAGTTGAGCGTTACACTCTTTCTATAGAAACCATAATAAAACAGTCCATTCTTCAAACCTTGCCTCCCCCGCCTTCACTCTTGCCTTAAGGACGATTTGAACCCGTCCTGTTAGGTATTACCAACCTGACCCGTGATAGGGCGGGTATTATCCAACCCGCGATGGGGGCGGGTATTACCCACCCGCAGTAGCATGGGGCGAGGCATGGGTATCTATTTCCGACCCGCCCGACCTCGTTCTGTGCCCATTATATCTCAATTTCTTACCATATCTATTCATATTTCTTCTATTTTGACTTTCGTTCAACTAGTTAGGTTTGATCTTTCAACTTGTTAGATTCAATTACTCATTCTATTATCACTATTCTTGATTCCTAAAGTGTTTTCCCCTTTGTTTTATCGTAAAAAGTAAAATTTTACGTGTATTTTTATCAAATAACATGTTAGAGTGGGTTGACCCGCCCCGTCCCGTCCCGTACCCACACGAGTATTACCCGCCCAGGCCCGTAGTAGCGTGGGGCGGGGCATGGGTATTGAGTTACCCGCCCGCCTCGTCCCATTGCCATCACTACTTTCCTTCTTCATCCATTCCACCGTCGATCCCGTCCCATGAAGCTCATACAAATCTGCACAATGAGAATGGCGCCAAATCCTCGAGCCCCATTCACACTCCACAAAAGCATGTTGTTGTGTTTCCCGGGCATTGATAACACCTAAAATAGGCGTTACTTAGCCCTTAATCTTAAGACATTTGCATGATAAATCACCGTGTCTGGGCCACATATCAAGTTATTTATGCCTATTTTCGTTCCTATTTGCAAAACATCCATTTTGGCATAGGTATTCTTGATATAAAGGTTTTCATAAGAGAATCGACCCCACTTTGTCATATTTTATGCTTTTCCAAGTGTTTTAACGAAATTCCAGGTTTTATATGCATTTGGGATTGATCGGAAACCGATTGGAGTTCATCCGAACACGATTGGGAAGCATAGGAACAAGAAGGGGAGAAGAGGCACTGGTCACGACCGTGACCATGTTTGCGGCCAAAAGATTGCGATTGTGAATAGTAGCCGCGAACTTCAGTAGACGACCAAAAAGAAGGCAAGAAGTTTCCCTAGTCGGATCACGGACATGATGCATTTTGACCGCGAAAAAGATCGCGCCCGTGACACAAAGATCACGACCGCGATCTTATGAAGGAGGCCGCAATCTCGGAGCTTAAAGACAGAGTCAAATGCGTTGTTTTGGTCTATTGGGGGACTTTCTAGCTGCCAACTGGTCATATCTAGGTCACGACCGTGACAATCGCGTCACTCCCTAGAGGCCTTGACCGCCATTAGCTTTCTATAAATACCCCTCTTGTTGCACTTTTCAAAGGAGAGCCGCCCTAGAGTGATAAAGTTAGGGTTTTGGGTTGTTTTTAGAGAGTGAAACACCTTGGGAAAGCTTAATTGAAGATCCAATCCCCAAGGAGCAAGAAGAAGGTGCAAGCAAGGAGAAGAAGATTGATTCCATCACTCCCTTTCTTCTAGTTTGTGTTTTCTTTCTCTCTCTATGACTTGAATCTCTAATGGTCGTTTAGAGAAGATGAACCATAGTTTATAAGTTGTGAATGAATGGGATATGTTTGAATTTGTTTATCTAGTTGATTTCATTGCTTCTCTAGCTTTAATTGTGTTTGGGTAAGCCTCACTAATCTTATCTACTAGCCTACTTGAGCTTCTACGCTGGGTATGGAGTTTTAGAGTTAGACGGGTAAGCGACATCAAGCAAATTGAGGTTAGATGTATGAATAGGATCCTATGATGGACGAGGCGAACGTACCTTTGGTATTGGAATGCCTTCCTAGATAGAACTCGAGATAAAATCTCGGTATGGACGGTGGGTTGTACACATTGAAAGAATCAATGTGCTTAATGCCCCACATATGATAGCCTAGATCGATGTGACTGACATGGGATTAGGGAAGGTGTACTCGGAGGCGTGTAGATAACCATGAAATCCCATGGAAAAGAGCTCACTCACCATATTCCCTTAACCCTACATGAAAACCATAGCTAGGAGGAGTCAACCCTAGACAACCATCTCATCTCTTGGGACCTCCCAACCACTTGGTTGAGTGTTTATTTTGCCTTTAAGAGTAGATTTTATTAGTTTAACAACCTTTTGATTTGATTAGATAGTGTTTGAAGCGAAGTAATAGTAAGCTTAGGGTTACTGACTCACTATGACACAACTTCTAACAATGGCCAAGTGTAACCAATGAAAGGGACTGCAGTATAGTGGCTCTAGTAATAAATATCAAATCCACGGGTCTCTAGAGTTATTATTACTCAGCTTCAGTTCATTATCCAGCAAACCAGATTAAGATGGAAGAACTAAAACTAATCTAACAAACTACAGTTAAATTTAATCTAATTACAGGTTGAGAACTCACTTAAGTATGATTCCCCCTAGCCACTAGTCAGATTAATGATTGATGATATCTAACTTGTTTCACTTTCATTCACCATGCGGAGAATCCTTGACTAGACCTTGAATATCAACTAAAGGATCAAGGCCCTCTTGAGTTGATTGCCTAGAGGGACGTATCCTTCTCTAGAACAACCGATCAAGGCGTTCTCAACTAGACTCCCTCTATCGAATGAGGTTCTCAATTGATACAAAGCAGTGAATCGGCCCTCGACTAAAGCAATCGATCCAATACTATCAATCTATGGTGCTCTAGACCTAATCATATCTTCGCTCTCATAGGATCAAAGCAGAATTAATAATCTCGACTAAAGCAGAATTGAATAATGAAAACGTGCATAGATTGAATATGAACTCAAGATTATCAAGTAGGAGTACTCATACAATCATCCAATCAAACAAACATAGCTAGGGTTCCTCAAAACCTAAGTGAAGAGAAGTTACTCCATAGAGAAGAGAGAGAATGCAGTAAGAATATTCAGATGATCAGTCTTCAAGTCCGGACTTGTTCCTCGAGCTTCCAAGGCGAAGAAATCCTCCAATTCCACTCCAAGAATGCCCTCAAATCGCCCTCTCTCTCTCTCTCTCTTTGGTTCGTCCCTTGGGTGTTTGGGATCCAAAACCCAGCTTCCCCCTTCCAAAAAACGCACAAAACAGGCTTTTAACAGCCTGCATTCGCGACCCGATCGAGTATTTTGGGTACCCGGCTGGGTATTTTTGGTTCACGACCGGGGGGCCTTCTGATGATGTCAAAAATACCCTATCAGATGGTCTCGGGTATTTTGGTCGGGCATTTTGCAGTTCTGGGTCTCCTATCTTTGATTCTTCGTTTCTCCCTCGTTCGGACTCCAAATCAGGTGTCGTTTGATCCCAGACGCTCGTAGTCTCGTCCTTTTTCTTATCATGAAAAGATTACATGATTCTATGGTCACAAACTGAGGTAGAAATCCATTCTTCTTCAAGTCATACCTGAGTTTCTTCCCACGAGTTGCCAATTGATCTCCAATTGACTTGAAACTTGCGCCTACGCTTCACTTTATGTGCTAGGACCTTAAATGTGACAAAGGAACAAAACCTAGCGTAAAATAGGTCAAAGAAACACAGGGGAAAACATGTGCAAATATCAAGTCATCAAATCCCCCCACACTTAACCGTTTGCTTGTCTAACTCAAACCAATGCAGCTCTCCAGACCTCTATAGCAACATGCACCCTCAATTGTTGATAGAGGATTTCTAGATCATTTAGAAACTTACGAGGTCAACCGACGCACAAGTCATCTCATAGCTTCTTCGCCGAGAACACTAGTCTCGAGTCGGCATCATGGCAAATAGTGATCAGAGGACAAATGAATCGTGGACGAATGGACTCTCAAAAACAAAAGATCATGGACTCGCATTTTTAAGGGGCTCTATTTTCTTCTTGAAGATGGTTGGAACCCCTTTTATTTCTTTTTTTTCCTTGTTTTTCTGTTTTCTTTTTCTTTTCCTTTTTCTTTCCAAGGGTTCCAACCTGTTTTTCAGAAAATGGGGGCTCCCACCTAGCAGAGGTTTTGCGGGAGCCCGGCTCTTACCGGCCATGCCAGGATTGAATGTCTCGAGCCTCGTGCGGGGGAAAGAAATGTAAGGGGGCTGGAGGTAGTAGGTGGAAATTGGGAACGGATTCCCATCTCCCCTTACACACTTTCGCCCTATTCGCACGGGAGACACTATTTTAAAGCACATTTTCGAGCACCTTTTATTTCAAAACATGATACAGGAGTCCATGACAGGTAGAGATCCACAACACCACACAATTCAAGGGTCCTAAGATCACTAAATCACACAATCAACCAACACAATATGGAGAAGAAAGGAGACTTCTTAATTGCATCAACATCCTCCATAGTGCTACACTACCTCCCTAGGTTGCACATTACTATATAGACTGTCAATTCAAAGCATACTGAGCAGGAAATTGCAAGGAACACTTACTTGGAGCCCTCAAATCGAAATTTGGACAGTGGACTAGGCTCCAAGCATACACATACAGCCAAACATTCACACGCATACATAATCGAACATCCCCCCACACTTAAGCACGACATTGTCCTCAATGGAGGAAAGATAAGGAGGGTAGAACGAAGTTACCAAATCAAGGGTGAATGATGCTGGACGGGGCAGGTGGTGCATTCCAGAAGGAGGGAGTAGTCGGAACACAAACACCACACAAAATCTCACAAAGGTTGAGTTATTGACTCTAAAATCAAAGAACAAAACTGACTCAACCGAGGAGAAATAGAGAAAGAAATGCAAACCGACTAGTTGGGTTGCCTCCCAACAAGCGCTTCTTTCACGTCGTGAGTTGGACGATGGCTCCTAAGTTTCGGTCCACCCTAGAACCTCTTTGAAGTTGAGGTTCTCGTCGATTAGGTGGAGTCTCAAGTCATGAACATGTGGTATGACAGGTGATGGAAGCTCGTGCACTTGATGCAGATGAAGTCTCCACCCTCGAGACCTCTTCTTCTCTTCTCTCGTCTCATTGCCCAAACCAGATATGATAACATCGATTGACCACCATCACGTCCACCAAGAGGGACTGATGTCGATGTGGCCTTGGTCTGACAAAGAGACACTGCAAATGGGTCCTTGCTAAGCAGTTCCTCGAAGTTTGGTGTGGATATTACTTGCAACATAAGGCTGGTGCAAGCCTCTTCCACCTCAACTTCATCCCCAGCCTGGACGCCAATTGCTTCTTCAACCCCCCTTCCTTCTTCAGAATTTAATTCCTCCCTTCGGAAAAGATCAAGAACTTCCTCTAATTCACTTCCGTCATGTAACACTTCGACCTTTGGGTTAGATTCGACCTTAATTCGTGATAGGTTGGGTTGACGGTTAAGTACTAAGAGTTACAAACGCGAATTAATAATAATAATAATAATAATAATAATAATAATAATAATATTATTATTATTATTACTATCAATGAAAAAAAAGCACACACAAATTTGCTCGGCTGGGCCGAGCGGCCCTCAAAACCCCACTCCCCAGCAAAGAAAACCAAAACCCTCCTTCTCTACATTTTCTCCCTAGCCGCCAAGCAATCCCCCACCCCCTCTTTTTGTGTCCCGAACGCAGAGAAGCAAACAACATCAGTGAGTCTCGCGGAGAAAGAAGAAAGAAAGCAGCGACGGTCTCCCTCTCCCATGGCCCGAACCCAATCCCGCCCCTTTTGTGTTTTTAGGTAAGGATAATGAACCCCTTCACGATTTCTAAACTCGATTTATCGATAGTCTAATCCGAAGCTCGTATTTTATTAGTTGTGACGTTTGAGGGTTCGATCAACGAGGAGATCAACGTCCCAGGTCATCCAACCTAGGCCTAGGCACGTTCTAGAGGTAAGGGAACTTGATCCCTTTGAGTTAGACCGATCGATTTGGTGATTTTTCATGAGGATGCAATTCTGGGTTTTTAACAATAGGCGTTACAGGCTTTAGTGACAAATTTTGGGTGGTCACTAAAGCTACTGGAAATTTCCAGAAACGTATTTTTGGGATGTTTTAATTGTTTCGAGTTTTTGTGGGTGTTCATTACTGAATTTAATAATTTTATAAATTGAGGGAGGTCTAGGAGATAGCTTTAATTTAATTTATTGATTTTTGAAAATGTATTTCTATTTTTAGAAATTATTCTAATATTCGTTTTAATTAAATAAAAATCTTTCCGATGGTTTTTTAAGAGTTTGATAATTTTCCAGAGTATAGGTGCTCATGATTGACATGGGAAAATTATTGTCCAAAATTATAAGAAGGTTCAAGTTAGGTGAAAAATTCGTCCAAGATAAAAATAATTAAGAAAAATGGTCGTTTTTTAAGCGATTAATTCTAGAAAATTTGAATTGGGAGGGGGGGGGGGGTTAAAGGACCCTTGTAATGAGGTTCAAGTACTGGATTTTGAGGAGAGGATGTCCTAGTGATTCAAAAGGGGGTTTAAATCAAGAAAGGTCGTCTAAGAAAATGGATTCTTATTAATAGGTTTCCCCAAGATAATTCGGCTAAGGAGGGGTTTCTTCGAGGAAGGAATTGATGAGTCATCTTTTCAAGGTGAGTGTAAAGGGGGTAAAATCTCTGTCGTAGGTCTTTTAGTTTCCGCTTTTCGTTCAAGTTATTATTTAGTTAATTTTCTAGTATGCACGATATGTGCGTAAGGCATCCCACCGCCTGTAAGGGTGGAGGCACGCGTTGTGCTATGTATGAATGTGTGATTGTAATAGTTGGTTGATGATACGATGAACCCCCGGGCGGTTGGGTCACTACAGGACGACGAGACGTAACGCAGTAGTTGACGGGCATGGACTGGACGGCGAGACGTAACGCAGTGCCATTGCCGAGTTTGGGTATGCAACCGGACGGCGAGACATAACACGGTTGGCATACTAGGGTAGGAAACCGGACGGCGAGACGTAACGCGGTGGTCCTAGTGTTTTGTGTTTGAGTTAAGGATAGAAGGCGAGCACTCTTAGGAGTTAATGTTGAAATGAGTTGATAAGAATGATTATTTAAGAGCAGAAAGCGAGAACGGCTTTTATGCCAGGAAGCAAACTCTAATAATGTGTTTAGTAGGGAGCTTCTTAGGGCAAAAACCTTAGGAAGTAACGACGAGACTGACCCCTTCTCACTCACCAGGTGCAGAGAGGGGAAGAGGACGCATACATCAAGAGGAGGTTAAACAAACCAGAAGATGTCAACTGGATCTGGGTAACGAGATGGGACCTCCCATATATTTGTCTTTAGTTTCATGTCTTAATGAGTATACTGGGAAACTCAAGGATTGTGTTTTATGTTTTGTTGCTTTGGATTGAGGTCGCCCAAGTGTTTAGGACATTTCACTTGAAAATCTTAAACATTGTGGTTGTTGATTTTTGGTTTTGACTTGTAAACCGTTTTGGGTTTCTCCGGAGTAACCGGTTTGTGGTTTGAGTTGTAGCTTGGTTTTCAAAAAGGATCCGGTCGTGTCACGTCATCCTCCACAACTTCTTTCCTCATCATTTCTCGCTCTTCTTCTTCTAGCACGAATTGGAGAGCAAGTTGCCAAGCGATTTCTTTCATGAGATCATCTTGCATCTCCTTACTCATGCCCACCTCTTCAAAGCTTGGTGTGGGATGTGGGAAGGTGTGGTCGGCTACAACAGGACATTCTTGATCATGATCTTCACGGGAGCTCTCCGTTACAACTTCTGTTTGCTCCACAATGTCCTTGTAGCCTTCGTCTTCCTCCTCCTCTTCTAGTATGGTAGCAGAAGGGTGATCTTGAGCAAGTTGTGTACAAACTTGCTCAACCTGCTCTGTTTGCTTTAATGACTGCGGAATAGTCTCCTCCAATTCACGAAGGGATGAAGAGTTAGGAGGAGCAAAAGATGAGAAAAGGAGGTCCATCTTGTGATTGCGTCTCTCGGTCTCCCGAGCAAACGGCTCCACGAGAAGCCTCAATTCATAGTTTGGATATGGTCGTGGAGTGTAGCATGGCTATGCATAATGGCCCGTGAAGGCCGCCATGTCTAACTCCAGCTCCGATGGCCCTTCTGGTTGTGGGAGGAATTCTTCTTCATAAGGATATTGTTCTTGAAATGTCCAAGGGTCCAGTTGTTCTCCATAGTAAGGGGGTTGGTACTGGAACCCAAATCCATAGTCTTCTCCTCCTTGATTGCTCCAGTAAGTCTCGGGGTAACACCACTCGGACGGTGGTGGATACCCCTAATGGTTGCAGAAGCCATGAGGATCCATGATTCAGATCTGCACCAACAAAAACACCCAAGTGAAAAGAAAGGGTGGAAAAGAAAAGAAAAATGCTAAAGTAACAAACTTCCGCCTTTCCTAATAATCTAGAAAGTCCCCAGCAACGGCGCCAAAAACTTGACTCGTTATGACACAACTCCTAACAATGGCCAAGTGTAACCAATGAAAGGGACTGCAGTATAGTGGCTCAAGTAATAAATATTGAATCCACGGGTCCCTAGAGTTACTATTACTCAGCTTCAGTTCATTATCTAGCAAACCAGATTAAGATGGAAGAACTAAAACTACTCTAACAAACTACAGTTAAAGTTAATCTAATTACAGGTTGAGAACTCACTTAGATATGATTCCCCCTAGCCACTAGCCAAATTAATGATTGATGATTTCTAACTTTTTTCACTTTCATTCACAATGCGGAGAATCCTTGACTAGACCTTGAATCTCGACTAAAGGATCAATGCCCTCTTGAGTCAATTGCCTAGAGGGACGTATTCTTCTCTAGAACAACCGATCAAGGCGTTCTCAACTAGACTCCCTCTATAGAATGAGCTTCTCAATTGATACAAAGTAGTGAATCGACCCTCGACTAAAGCAATCGATCCAATACTATCAATCTATGGTGCTCTATTGACCTAATCAGGTATTTGCTCTCATAGGATCAAAGCAGAATCAATAATCTCGACTAAAGCATAATTGAATCATGAAAACGTGCATAGATTGAATATGAACTCAAGGTTATCAAGTAGTAGTACTCATACAATCATCCAATCAAACAAATATAGCTAGGGTTCCTCAAAACCTAAGTGAAGGGAAGTTACTCCATAGAGAAGAGAGAGACTGCAGTAAGAATATTCAGATGATCAGTCTTCAAGTCCGGACATGTTCCTCGAGCTTCCAAGGTGAAGAAATCCTCCAATTACACTCCAAGAATGCCCTCAAATATCCCTCTCTCTCTTAGGTTCGTCCCTTGGGTGTTTGGGATCCAAACCCAGCTCTCCCCCCCCCCTCCAAAAACGCACAAAACAGGCTTTTAACAGCCTTCGTTCGCGACCAGGTTGGGTATTTTGGGTACCCGGACGGGTATTTTTGATTCACGACCGGGGGCCTTCTGATGCTGTCACAAATACCCTATCAGATGGTCAAAATACCCGGTCGGGTATATTGGTCGGGTATTTTGCAGTTCCGGGTCCCCTATCTTTGATTCTTCGTTTCTCCCTCGTTCGGACTCCAAATCAGGTGTCGTTTGATACCAGATGCTCGTAGTCTCGTCCTCTTTATTCTCATGACAAGATTACATGATTATATGGTCACAAAATGAGGTAGAATTCCATTGTTCTTCAAGTCATACCCGAGTTTCTTCCCACGAGTCGCCAATTGATCTCCAATTGACTTGAAACTTGCGCCTACGCTTCACTTTATGTGCTATGACCTGAAATGTGGCAAAGGAACAAAACCTAGCTTAAAATAGGCCAAAGAAGCGATAATAGAAGCTTAAACGATCAAGAAACAAAGGAAAAAACATGTGCTAATATCAAGTCATCAGTTCCCTTGGAATACGATCGAGCCAGTTTACTACAACCCTTTCTAGGTTATACTTGGCTTAGTTAGGATTGAATAGAGTGTGCATCGAATTATAAATTTAAATGTCAATCACATAAGCGATCAGACATCGCAGAAAGAGCACTTATCGCTCCACTTTTCACTATCACAACGTCTATTTTCTGCATATTAGGAAATAGGAGGATTCAACAATGCAAGAAACGAAAGCGCGCACACACACGACACACAATTTACGTGGTTCACTAACACAATATGTGTTAGCTAGTCCACGGACAAGAGAGAGCCAGTATCACTATACTTTGAAGAGATACAGATTACAGATGAGTATGAGAAGTATTTATAGTACTTTTCGTAGGTCTAACACTAATCCAAATGGGTAAAGGAAAAACGGTTACAACCAAGCCCAGAACTTGAACCCAAATAACATTGAGTCCATACACCATGGACCGGGGGCGTTTTCCCCGCACCCCGTGACTTCCAGTCATAGCGACTGATAGTCCGATTCAAGTTACATCAATAGTCACTCTTCTCGCTTACTCTATCCCCTGGCGAACTTCCACATGAAATAGGACTTGATGTTTGGATTTATCTAAATTGGATCTCATTTGGATCAATTCATTTGGGTTAGACACAAATGATACTTGATGATTGTATACACAAAAACCAATATCAATGATTTCTTTAACCATTTACAACCAAATTATATACCTTTAATGTTGATTTTTTCACTATTACATTTTGGCAAAATTCATTTGTATAGCCAAAACTTTTTGGCCTTTGTGACAATAAAAGCCACTTTATGAGAAATACACAAAATAACCAAAAAATTTGAAAATTTCATGACATATATAGCCATTTCCGTTACAAACTTTAACGGTGTTAGAAACTCCGTCAATTAAGTTGACATTAAGCTGACTAGGATGCCAAATTATCGGACACATCAGCGACAAGTCATCAATATCATTGCCACATCATTTTGATTAATTTTTTATTGATTAAGTTAAATAAAAAATCATAAAAAATAAAAACAATAAGGGGTTGTTTGGATGGAGTATTTGTATGAGTTATTTGGGTTCAAATAACTCACAATGAGTTATTTGGACGCAAATAACTCGTTTGGCAGCATTTTACTGAAATGAGTTATTTGGAAAGTGAGTTATTTACAAATAACTCAAAATGAGTTATTTGAAATAATTTATACCCATGTGTTATTTCGAAATAACTCGTTTTATCACTCTACTTTTATCAAATACCACATGTCAAATACCATATTTGCATGGATCAACCAAACGAGATACTTTATTTCAATTACCACTGAAATAACAATGAATTACCACATGAACAATAAATGAGTTCTTTGACTCTACAAATACCACATTAACAATTAACACATCCAAACGAACCCTAATAAATTCTTTCTTTCTAGTCTCTGCTTTTCTCGTATCAATCAACGAACAAGAAAAAAGGACTCTCCTTTCTTCTTCCCATAAACCCTTCTCCTCTCATCTTCTTTCTATCATCTTGAATGCCCGGACCAGAATGAAATCCAGCCCCAACGTTAAACGAATCCCCAACTAAGAATCCTTCACCTGGAGATGATGCTGTCGAGATCCTCGACGAATGTAAAGACTTGAGGCTTAATCGTGATGTTTGAGAAAGGGTGATAATTTATCGCCTGTCCTGCGAGTTCCCTGAGGCCAAAGCTTTAGTTACCTACTCAGATATTATTGTCGCGCTGTCGATGAACTGAAGAAGGTCACCGGTTCGAATCTTCAATTAATATTTCAATATCTCCTGTTAGTCGTTGCTGCTCTTTCTGTGCTGCCGCCCAGATCTGGGTTTGGGGATTTAAGGATCTGATAAACGGTACAAAGAAATAACTCTGGTTTGTTCTCACCAAAGACGGAGATGGCGAACCAGAAATCTTGAGCAGCGCAAGCCTCATTGACCGCGCCCAGGAATAGTAATTGTTGCCATTGAGAATGACTGTAACCAGAGGTGTCGCCGGATTGTAAGAAAGAAGGCAACTGATTGGGGTGGAGGATCTGTAGAAAACCTACAGTCCTCTCTTTTGGTTTTTTGTATTTACATGGAGGAGGGAAAGATGATTACAACGGCTAATGAACAGGACTTAACCATTGGTTGAATCCATTAACCAAAGCCCGACAGGTGGCAAGGCAGGATTCACTTATTTGTAACTAATCTGCTCTCTAACAGACTAAAACAAATAAAGAATGAAACGACATCATTTGGCAAAATGCCGGGCTAATTCCAAACTTGTAAAACCTCACACTTCAGTCCATTGCCTGTCTTCTGTTGACTTCGAGCAATCCTTCCTTGACCAGGAATGCAATGAATCACTGTTGTAGCTCCTGTCCTTCGTGCATCTGATCCTTGAGGATCATTCAATAGGCCCCCACAAGATGGAGAGTATACATCTATTACTCCCATCTTGCCAAGTAGCTCCAAAAGTCTGAATTTGCTCAATCCCTTAGTGAAAATGTCTGCTAATTGATCTGAAGTGTGAAGATGGCATAACCTGATCAAACCAGTCTTGATCCTCTCTCTGGTAACGTGCATATCTATCTCGATATGCTTTGTTCTTTCATGAAAGACTGGATTTTCAGCTATATGAATAGCTTATCTGTTATCACAGTAAACTGTGATTGGCACTGCAACTTTAACATCAAGCTCTGCCAACAGCCCTTTCATCCATTGAAGCTCACAAACCAAATGAGCCAAAGCCCTGTATTCAGCCTCAGAAGAAGACCTTGAGACTGTTGTTTGTTTCTTACTCTTCCATGTTAGAAGAGAGTCTCCAAAATAAGTGCAGAACCCTGTGATGGATCTCCTTGTGTCTGGACAAGCTGCCCAATCAGAGTCACTATAACCTGTGACAGTAAAATCTGTGTTCTTTCTAAACATTATCCCCTGTCCTGGAGACTTTTTCAAGTACCTTAGCACTCTCAAAGCTGCCTGCATATGTGTATCCAGGGGATTCCCTTGAAATTGGCTCAACTGTTGTACAGTAAAGCATATATCTGGCCTTGTAATGGTCAGATAATGCAGCCTCCCAATGAGCCTCCTGTAACATTTTGGGTCTTCCAATGGATTCCCTTCTCGAGAACTCAATCTCACCTTCATATCAATAGGTGTTTGTGTTTCCTTAGCTCCTGAATAACCACTATCTTCAAGAAGTTCACTGCAATACTTCCTCTGGTTCACCACAATTCCTTGATCATTCCTGACAATCTCAAGCCCCAGAAAGTACTTCAAAACTCCAAGGTCCTTGATCTTAAAACTTCTCTTCAAATAGAGTTTGACCAGCTCCAAATCATCTAACTTCTGTCCTGCCAAGATGATATCATCAACATAAACAAGTAACACAACCAGTCTACCTTGAACTCTTTTAGTGAACATTGAGTAGTCAAATGTTGATTGTGAGAAGCCATTTTTAAGTAGTGAGCAGGTCAATTTGGCAAACCACTGTCTGCTTGCTTGTTTCAAGCCATACAGTGATTTCCTCAATCTGCAAACTTTCCTTCACTGCCTTGCAGTCCAGGTGGAGGTGTCATATAGACTTCCTCATCAAGGTCTCCATGCAGAAATGCATTGGAGACATCCATTTGGTGTAGATACCAGTCCTTAGCTGCTGCAACAGCTAGGAGAGTTTTGACTGTGTTAATTTTGGCAACAGGTGAGAAGGTATCTAGGAAATCTATTCCATAGATTTGAGTGAACCCCTTGGCCACCAACCTTGCTTTGTATCTCTCAATGGCTCCATCTGGTTTTAGCTTGGTCTTGTACACCCATTTGCAGCCAATGGCTCTTTTTCCAAGAGGCAAGGTAACAAGATACCATGTATTGTTTTCAAGCAATTCATTCAGTTCCTCCTCAATGGCTTTGATCCAGTGATGTTCCTTGGCTGCTTCTTTATAACTCTGTGGATCCATCAAAACTGTCAAGTTTAGTGCAAACCTCTTCTGTTGTGGAGTGAATTGATGATAAGAAATGTAGTTTGCCATACAGTATTGGCTAATTTGGTTGATTGAAGTGACATAATCCTTATGTCAAACAGGAGGTTTCCTGGTTCTGGGAGGTAAATCATCTTCCTCCAATTCATCTCCTGGTGGTAGTTCATCATCATCTGAGTCCTGAGAGTCAGGCTCAGCATCCCTATAGTCATCAGAGTCACTAGCAACTTCCTGATGATTAATGGGAGTAGAAGTAGAAGAAGGAGAACTGGCAGAAAAATCCTCCTGTGTCCTTGAAGCATCAGGTGGTGGTGTATGGCCCCATGAGCCTGGCTATCAGGAAGAAAAGGCTCAGTGGTGGAAGGGAATTGTATGGTTGGAAGATCAGGAAAAGAAGGTTTTGTATCTTCCTCAGCAGAAGGGGGGGATTTCTTAAAAGGTAGGATATCTTCATACAAAATCACATCCCTAGATATGAAAATATCATGGGTGGTTAAATCAAACAACTTGTAGCCTTTGATTCCCATAGGGTATCCCAACAACAAACACTGCCTTGCTCTAGTATGGAATTTGGTCCTGCCACTACTATATGTTGATGCATAGGCTAAACAGCCAAAGACCTTTAAATGTCCAAGATAAGGTGGTGTTTGGTATAAAATCTCATATGGACTCTTGTTATTCAACACAGGTGTAGGCAGTCTGTTAATGAAATGAACTGCATGTAGAATGCAGTCACTCCAAAACTGTAAATGAATTCTTGATTGAAACCTCAAGGCCCTAGCCACATTGAAAATGTGCTGGTGTTTCCTCTCTACCCTGCCATTCTGCTCAGGAGTAGCCACACTGGACATCTGATGTTCTATACCATGCTCATGGTAAAAATCATTCATGTGAAATTCCCTACCCTGATCACTTCTTATAATCTTAACAGATTTAGAAAATTGTTTATGCACCATGATGCAGAAACCTTGAAGCAATGATCTTGTTTCGGACTTGTGTTTCATAAGATAAGTCCAAACAACTCTAGAATTATCATCAACAAGAGTAAGGAAATAGGAAAAACCATCATATGATTCAACAGCCAAGGGCCCCCATATGTCAACATGGATCAAACCAAATACATCAGTAGCTTTGTTCTCACTTAAAGCAAAAGGCAAACGTTTGTGTTTTGAAAAATGACAAATGTCACAGTGTTTCACTCTCTCACTTTGAACACTGGGATTACATTGCTTGACTAACAAAAACTTGTTGGAACTTGGATGTCCTAAACGCCAATGCCAGAGATTGAGTCTTAACTACATCAAATGCAGGTGCTACTCCTCTAAGAAATTT